TGAGGAGAGGTTAAGGGAAATCAGCCTGACAGCACTGGAGGACAGGAGAGATAGGGGGGACATGATAACGACATACAAAATACTGAGAGTATTTGACAAGGTGAACAAAGAGAGGATGTTCCAGAGATGGGACACAGCAACAAGAGGACACAGTTGGAAGTTTAAGGGAAATCAGCCTGACAGCACTGGAGGACAGGAGAGATAGGGGGGACATGATAACGACATACAAAATACTGAGAGTATTTGACAAGGTGAACAAAGACAGGATGTTCCAGAGATGGGACACAGCAACAAGAGGACACAGTTGGAAGTTTAAGGGAAATCATCCTGACAGCACTGGAGGACAGGAGAGATAGGGGGGACATGATAACGACATACAAAATACTGAGAGTATTTGACAAGGTGAACAAAGACAGGATGTTCCAGAGATGGGACACAGCAACAAGAGGACACAGTTGGAAGTTTAAGGGAAATCAGCCTGACAGCACTGGAGGACAGGAGAGATAGGGGGGACATGATAACGACATACAAAATACTGAGAGTATTTGACAAGGTGAACAAAGACAGGATGTTCCAGAGATGGGACACAGCAACAAGAGGACACAGTTGGAAGTTGAAGACACAGATGAAGCACAGGGATGTTAGGAAGTACAGTGGACCCCCAGTTAACGATATTTTTTCACTCCATAAGTATGTTCAGGTGCCAGTACTGACCGAATTTATTCCCATAAGGAATATTGTGAAGTAGATTAGTCCATTTCAGACCCCCAAACATACACGTACAAACGCACTTACATAAATACACTTACATAATTGGTCGCATTCGGAGGTAATCGTTATGTGGGGGTCCACTGTATTTCTTCAGCCACAGAGTAGTCAGGAAGTGGAATAGTTTGGGAAGCAATGTAGTGGAGGCAGGATCCATACATAGCTTTAAGCAGAGGCATGATAAAGCTCACGGTTCAGGGAGAGTGACCTAGTAGCGACCAGTGAAAAGGTGGGGCCAGGAGCTTGGACTCGACCCCTGCAACCTCAACTAGGTGAGTACACACACACACACACACATACACACACACACACACACACACACACACACACACACACACACACACACACACACACACACACACACACACACACACACACACACACACACACACACACACACACACATACACACACACACATACACACGCATGCACATACAACAGGCCTAGTGTCTAATCGACATGTGCCTAGGACCAAATGGCAACTAACTAACACACGCACGCACACAAATAAATAAATATCAATAAATAAAAATTTACAGGCACTGAACATGTTTCTAGAACTGTCGCAGTCTGTATAAGTCACCAGAACATGGCTCCAAACTTCAGTGTTTTACACACACCCTACACACAAAGTGTCTCTGCTGGGCACCTTCTTGTGTGTGTACACTCAACATCTCTTCTGAGGCCATTTTTTCTTGTCTGTAGCAGGAAGTGTCCTTAGGAAGTTATCTAAATGCCGCAAATGAGAAGTCACATAGTGATCTGTATGGCTGCACATGCACCTCATGTGTTGTGACCTGGTATTTTTGTATATGTCTGATGGCAAATAAAAATCACCATATGGCAGTTGCTGGTCTTGACTTGGTACATATTGTATATGTTCAGTATTGCAGTGTCCTTAAGATGCAGGAGAAATTTTGTGTACCAATGTAACTCTTGTAGACACAATCAGCAGACCCAGTCTGCACATCACATATGTCTTCCAAACGCTTGTTGGTGGTGTAATCCATAACAACAGCTGGTCTCTGAATGGGTTCATTGGTGTGTGTGTTCTCTTTTCCTGTGTCTTTCATTTCATGCTGGTGGATCAGTATCAACAATATGTCATGTTTGTTTTGCCAGCAAAATGCCATGGTGTATGTGTGTATGTGTATGTGTGCCATGGTGTTAATGGCATGAAACACCTGCACCTCACTGGTACCCAATGCTTGTGTTGAACCTGGGAACATGTTTACGTGTGCCATGCACTGCACCATTAATTTAATGCAGGAAATAACTGAGTAATGGGCTTTGTGTAAAGTTACTTTTTTTTTTTTCTTCAAAAAAACCGGCCATATCCCACCAAGGCAGAATGACTGAAAAAGAAAAACGAAAGTTTCTCTTTTAAAATTTAGTAATTTATACAGAAGGGGTTACTAGTCCCTCCCCTCTGGCATTTTAGTTGCCTCTTATGCATGGCTTACAGAGGAAGAATTCTATTCCACTTCCCTATGGAGAAGTTACTTTATTGGATGGGATAATATACATATATAGTTGGCCATCAGTAACAAGGAGTTACATTCCTAATCTAATGTAGCACTAACTGATCAAAAAAACATAAAGGGGAAAAATAGAATTAGGTTTTAGAAATTTCCAAAAAAAAGGCTAAAACAGTTTTTTTTAAATATCTTGGTATGTCAAAAATAATGCAGTATGTGTTGCCTTATATTTTTGGAAGGGTTAATGTGGCCCTATGAAAGTGAGATTGGATATAGTGAAGCTTTTCATATGACATACCTGTAGCCGGCAGCATCAGCTGTATTCTCACTTGTGGAGCGAGCTACCTACTCTGGCTCCCAGCAATATTGTGAGATAACAGATTTCTGCATCTACTGGTAATTCCTCAGTGCATATCTGAATTGTCTGTGCTACTTTTATTTAGTATGCCGATTGCATGAGGGGCCAATAACATCAGGTTTAGTGAAAGAAAGTAACACCATGTTTTTTCAACAATAGTGAAGTACAGCTAAGGTAGGTACATAACTTTTAACCCTTTGAGGGTCCGTCCCGTAGATCTACGGCTTTACGTTCAGGGTCCAAACCGTAGATCTACGTCATGAGCTCAGCTCACTCTGATAAACTTTGAGTGGTACATTTGGGCCTAGATATGAGAGAATACATCTATGTGGTATGTGTGCACCACATAAAACAGATCCTGCAGCACACTGTGTATAATGAGAGAAAAAAACTGAAATCATGATTTTTCAATTAAAACAGCGACTTTGCAGTGTTTTTTCGTATGTTTTTTATAGTTCTATTTGCGATTTCTTGGTCTCATTTGATAGAATGGAAGACATATTACAGAAATAGAGATGATTTTGATTGGTTTTAGCACTGGAAATGGCTTGAAACTGAGCTCAAAGTAGCAGAAATGTTAAATTTTTGCCGATATTCAAGAGTAAACAAACGACCTCACACGTCTAATACACGCCAGCTGGTGGGTCTAATATGCATTCACAAATATGGTGATGATATTTATACAATTATTACAGTATTGCATAACAGTAAATCTTCTATTTTTTGGTGGGAATAAAAATTCATTATGTGAATAAAAAATCAAAATGGAATTTATTAGTAAAGCCTCAAAACGTAACTAATGAACAGAGGAAATGTTAGTTTAGTTCCAGGAATACCTACATTGTTTATTCTGGACCCTATTTTGAAATTGGAATATTTTGAACTTTGTGTTAAATTAGCCAAATTAACAATTTCTGATCACTTTAATTTGTAGTTGAAACAGTTGACTTGGCGATTTCTTGTCCTCAATCGATAGAATAGAAGTAATACTAGTGAAATAGCTAAGAATTTGGTTGATTGGAATAATGTAATTGGCCTAAAATGGGAGTCAAAGTCGGCAAAATCGCTGATTCGTAAATATCACTGACACATCAAAATTCGCGAGAGCATAATTTTGTCAATTTTCCATCAAATTTTGTACTTTTTGTTTTATTACCTTCACAAAAAGATTCTCTACCATTTCATAAGAAAAAATAACAAATTTTTTTTTTGAAAATTCTTGGACACTGGGGCACCACTTCAGATTTGGGCCTTGGACCCTGAAGGGGTTAAAGGTACACGAATGTATAATAACAGTGTAAGTATGATAATTTATAATCCTGGGTTACTGTACTAAACTTTAAGATTTATAGTCCAGTAAAGCTGTCTACAGAATTTTTATTTATTCTTGATATTAATGCACTGAACATTCTATTTGAACTTTTTATTCAGGTGTTTTATATACTACTGTGAATTAGTCATTCCTAAGTAATATGAATTTGAGAACACATTAGTTAAGCAGAAATAATGGCCATGACTTGCTCTTGCTTAGAAAGAATGCTGAGAGACTGAGGGAGGGGGGGGCACTGCTTATGGCCATGTCACTGAGGAGGAGGGCACTGATTATGTTGCAGCAGCTGAGGAGGGGGCACTGCTCATGGCCCATTGACTGAGGAGGGGGCACTGCTTGTTGCCCAGCAGCTGAGGGGGGAAGGAGCACTGCTTGTGGTCTAGAGGCTAGGGAGGCACCTCTCACTGCTCAGCAGGGGGGGGGGGGCACTTCTCACGGCCCAGTGGCTGGGGGGACTCTCTCATGGCCCAGCAGCTGAAGGGGGTCTCTTCTCATGGCCTGGAGGCTGAGGAGGGGGCACTGATGGTGGCTCGGCAGTTGAGGGGGGAGCACTGCTCATGGCCTGGAGGCTGGGGAAGACACCTCTCATGGCCTGGCAGCTGAGGAGGGGGCACTCTTCTTGGCTTGAAGAGCAGATTGTGAAACTACTGTACTATACTCCATATATGACAGTTTAGATGTCACTCCAAGCAGCCAATATCTCAAACCCCTACTTTAAAGTGCAGGCATTGTACTTCTAACCTCCAGGACTCAAGTCCAGCTAACTGGAGGAGATACTCACATAATTATTAATAAAATTACTTACAGTGAGTCAGTTTAAATAAGAATATCACTATTGCCAGATGTTAGCATTTTTTTTTTTTGTAAATATTAAAACAATTTTAGTAAATTTTGTAATTGTTTCTGATTTTGCAGTTGTGTGACCCCTAGAGATACTTAAATTTTATCAAAATTCCCATTTTATTGTAATTTTATATAAATAGATTTCACAGTGTAATTGTACTATATTTATTTTTTTCACAGATGATGATATTCTGAATTCATATGTACTTTTATATTTACAGAGTGGGAGTAATATGCATCATAAATTTCACACATTTGGTCCTGGTCCTCCTGGTCCTGCTAATCCACCAGGCCTGGTGAGAATACAGCCCAAACCATGTGCTCAGCCCCACCCAGGGGCCAGTCACACCACCTTTGCTAGAATGCCTCAGTTGACCCAGGGCAGGTCATCAGACGTGTCTTCATCTGTTTCTTCTACAACTCATCCCATTGGAGAAAATAGGTATATAACTTGCTACTAGTTTGGGGTGATCCTAGAAATGAAAGCACATTCACTCATTTCTGAGCTGTTTCCTCTAAATGGTAGTCATAACTATTCCAATGATGCACTGAGACTCAGTGTCCTCACCTTCAGTGTGTAAGCACCTTACTTCTCACTACTAGAACTTTAAGTTCAACTAATTGATTTCTCTGAATCCTTTCCTGTATGTTACTTTACAGTTTATGCCAGCTGCAGGCAAACTTTTGATCAGAAAAACAGATGATTGAAATCTGGACTTTCAGAAATCTTGGAAAAAAACTCATACACCAATTGCAAATGGGGCCATGCATCTTCAAGAATGGGGTCATCCACCTTGGGGTCGAACTGTGCATTATGTTCATTAAAGCTCAGCTGATGGCATATTTGAAGGATAATAATGTTAGAAGAGGGCAGTGTCTTGTTTTTCTTCTAACATTATTATCCATCACATGTCATACCATACCACGGGCGGGATTGAACCCGCGGTCAGAGAGTCTCAAAACTCCAGACCGTCGCGTTAGCCACTGGACCAGCTAGCCACAATAAGATTTGTCCAACTAGGTATATTTCTACACCATAGGAAGGTTAGCATAGGCACCACTGTGACCACAAATGTAAGTTTTTACAGACGAATCTCCAGCTAGCGTGGCCGTGACGAACTCTGCATTTGTGGTCACAGTGGTGCTTATGCTAACCTTCCTATGGTGTAGAAATATACCTAGTTGGACAAATCTTATTGTGGCTAGCTGGTCCAGTGGCTAACGCGACGGTCTGGAGTTTTGAGGCTCTCTGACCGCGGGTTCAATCCCGCCCGTGGTATGGTTTGTTTGCAATCGTGTCATTACGATTTTGTGAGTCATGTTGACGCCATCACATGTGCCATCATCTGAGCTTCATTGAACATAGTGCAGAGTTTGACCCAAAGAGATGTACCCATTGTTGAAGTTGCATGACTCAACTTGCAACTGATGTATGAAATTTGAAACTTCCATCATCTGCTGCCAAATGTTTCATTGGCCAAAGGTTTGGCCTGAAGTCAGTGTCATAATTTTCCACACAGACTGCACTTATATGTCAACAGTAATTCACATGCAAAAACCACTTGTCTCCTATCCCGCTTTAGCCCCTATCACTTTCACACTTCCCCTCCCACTTTTCTTATGACATCTAGGCCTTCCATTCACTCAAGATCTATACACCCTTATAATCATCCTATTTTGCTTGGTCCTTACTAATGACAAAATTTATAAAAAGGGAACCTCTGCTCCCTAATTTATATCTCATATCACCACACTTAAAGTTGGTTTTCTTCTTCTGTAATTCTATGACACTATTAAACCACTACGACATAGTGGTTTAATAGCTGCGAGAAGTATGATCTTCTCCGCTCTAAATCCATGCTTATTATATTTGGTGACTTGTTTGGGTTGTGTAGGTTGTGCTCTTCCATGAAATTTGTAATTTGGCATTGCATTTAGCCAGATATCAGACAAGTAGCCCTAATATTATGTATCATTTCCTCAAAGAACAGTGCCAATGGCAAAGAACTTTTGTGACAACTCCCACTGTGTGTCAGTCATTATCTATTAATTCTACACTTCTTCCCAGCTCCCTGGCATTCCATTAATTTGCAGCTTCATCCATAAATGTGTTTCAGTTTGCAATCTTATTGATAAATATGTTAATAGTCCATCATGACATCACATACCTCTATCTAAGGCCTATTTTTATTGGAAAGTACTCCTTTTTTCTCCTACATACCCTAGCCAAAATAAATTTAAAGGGTAAATATGGGTTCATATGGGAAAATATAAAAAATTTAAGTTACAAATGATGTTCAGAAATGCAACTTTATTCATTAAGGAATTTTTTGGACAAAAATTCAGGTTGATTTATTTTTAAGAAAGCAGCCTATACTCTAATACAGTATATATGAGATGTTGAAAAGAAAAACAACAAATGTGCCATATGTCACCTTTGTGAAAATCACACATAAAAAAAAAAAAAGATGATTTGGCTAATTTCACTATTGAGAAGATTGCCTACAAACATTTGCAATATGTCTGCAACAGTATCTCAGTAACAATACAGTTTTGATCAAACTGGTCTTATTTACCTACAAACATTTGCAACATCATCATCTTTCAACAAACTGGCCATATCCAACCAAGGCAGGGTGGCCCAAAAAGAAAAATGAAAGTACATTTGCCACATGTTTGTAACAATATCTCAGCAGCAATACAGTTTTGATCAAACTGGTCTTATTTTAGAGAGTGATGAACAAAAGGAGAGCAGATGATTGAGTGGGAGAGGCACTGTCAAGAAATTTTGCAGAAAATAAGAAAAAATGTGGAGTGAGATAAACACGTAAAGAAAGCCTAGGGAACGAATGGATTTGTCAGTTAAAAACAGAGTAGGGGAGTTAGTTGATAGGGAGCTGGAGGTATTATGACAGAAATGTTAAAAGAAGGGGGGTATATAATGATGGAGTGGTTGGTATTTTTGTTGAATAAATGTATGAAAGAGGGGAAAGTACCTAGGGATTGGCAGAGAGCATGTATAAATCCTTTATGTTAAGGGAAGGGGGACAAGAGAAATTGTAAAAATTATAGAAGAAGTCTACTGAGTATTGTGGCAGATGTTTCAAGTATGTGGAATAGGTAGTAAGTTACTAAATGGTGTAAAGAGTTCTTATGAGGATAGCAAGGCTCAGGTTAGGCTATGTAGAAGAGAGGGAGATTACTTCCTGGTAAAAGTTGGTCTTAGACAGGGATGTGTAATGTCACCATGGTTGTTTAATATATTTATAGATGGGGTTGTAAAAGAAATAAATGCTAGGGTGTTCGGGAGAGGGGTGTGATTAAATTATGGGGAATCAAATACAAAATGGGAGTTGACACAGTTACTTTTTGCTGATGATACTGTGCTTTTGGGAGATTCTAAAGAAAAGTTGCAAAGCTTAGTGGACGAGTTAGGAGGGTGTGTAAAGGTAGAAAGTTGAAAGTGAACATAGATAAGAGTAAGGTGATGAGGGTATCAAATGATTTAGATAAATTAAAATTGGATATCACATTGGAGAGGAGAATGGAAGAAGTGAATGTTTTCAGATACTTGAGAGTTGACTTGTCAGCAGATGGGTTTATGAAGGATGAGGTTAACCATAGAATTGATGAGTGGTGCGTTGAGGTAACTGTGGAGACAAAAAACATTATCAATGGAGGCAAAGAAGGGAATGTATGAAAGTATAGTGGTACCAAAACTCTTATATAGGTGTGAAGCTTGGGTTGCAAATGCTGCAGCGAGGAGGCGGCTGAAGGCAGTGGAGATGTCCTGTCTAAAGGCAATGTGTGGTGTAAATATTATGCAGAGAATTCAGAGTGTGGAAATTAGGAGGTGTGGAGTTACTAAAAGTATTATTCAGAGGGCTAAAGAGGGGTTGTTGAGGTGGTTTTGTCATTTAGAGAGAATGGATCAAAGTAGGTAGTAGGTTGGTAGACAGCAACCACCCAGGGAAGTACTACCGTCCTGCCAGATGACTATGAAACAGAAACCTGTAACTGTTTTGCTTGATGGTAGGATTGCTGGTTTCTCTTTCTGTCTCATAAACACTTTGGTCACACTTCACAGACATGCACATGCATATATATATATACATACATCTCTCCATGGGGAAGTGGAACAGAATTCTTCCTCCGTAAGCCATGCGCATCGTAAGAGGCGACTAAAATGCCGGGAGCAAGGGGCTAGTAACCCCTTCTCCTGTATATATTACTAAATGTAAAAGGAGAAACTTTCGTTTTTCCTTTTGGGCCACCCCACCTCGGTGGGATACGGCCGGTGTGTTGAAAGAAAGAAAAGATACATACATCTAGGTTTTTCTCCTTTTTCTAAATAGCTCTTGTTCTTCTTTATTTCTTCTATTGTCCATGGGGAAGTGGAAAAGAATCTTCCCTCCGTAAGCCATGCGTGTCGTATGAGGGGACTAAAATGCCAGGAGCGATGGGCTGGTAACCCCTTCTCCTGTAGACATTTACTAAAAAAGAGAAGAAGAAAAACTTTATAAAACTGGGATGCTTGAATGTGCGTGGATGTAGTGCGGATGACAAGAAACAGATGATTGCTGATGTTATGAATGAAAAGAAGTTGGATGTCCTGGCCCTAAGAGAAACAAAGCTGAAGGGGGTAGGGGAGTTTCGGTGGGGGAAATAAATGGGATTAAATCTGGAGTATCTGAGAGAGTTAGAGCTAAGGAAGGGGTAGCAGTAATGTTGAAGGATCAGTTATGGAAGGAGAAAAGAGAATATGAATGTGTAAATTCAAGAATTATGTGGATTAAAGTAAAGGTTGGATGCAAAAAGTGGGTCATAAGAACCGTGTATGCACCTGGAGAAGAGAGGAATGTAGAGGAGAGAGAGAGATTTTGGGAGATGTTAAGTGAATGTATAGGAACCTTTGAACCAAGTGAGAGAGTAATTGTGGTAGGGGACCTGAATGCTAAAGTAGAAGGTGTGGTAGGTAAGTTTGGGGTGCCAGGTGTAAATGATAATGGGAGCCCTTTGATTGAACTTTGTATAGAAAGGGGTTTAGTTATAGGTAATACATATTTTAAGAAAAAGAGGATAAATAAGTATACAAGATATGATGTAGGGTGAAATGACAGTAGTTTGTTGGATTATGTATTGGTAGATAAAAGACTGTTGAGTAGACTTCAGGATGTACATGTTTATTGAGGGGCCACAGATATATCAGATCACTTTCTAGTTGTAGCTACACTGAGAGTAAAAGGTAGATGGGATACAAGGAGAATAGAAGCATCAGGGAAGAGAGAGGTGAAGGTTTGTAAACTAAAAGAGGAGGCAGTTAGGGTAAGATATAAACAACTATTGGAGGATAGATGGGCTAATGAGAGCATAGGCAATGGGGTCGAAGATGTATGAGGTAGGTTTAAAAATGTAGTGTTAGAGTGTTCAGCAGAAGTTTGTGGTTACAGGAAAGTGGGTGCGGGAGGGAAGAGGAGCGATTGGTGGAATGATGATGTAAAGAGAGTAGTAAGGGAGAAAAAGTTAGCATATGAGAAGTTTTTACAAAGTAGAAGTGATGCAAGGAGGGAAGAGTATATGGAGAAAAAGAGAGATGTTAAGAGAGTGGTGAAGCAATGTAAAAAGAGAGCAAATGAGAGAGTGGGTGAGATGTTATCAACAAATTTTGTTGAAAATAAGAAAAAGCTTTGAAGTGAGATAACAAGTTAAGGAAGCCTAGAGAACAAATGGATTTGTCAGTTAAAAATAGGAGAGGAGAGTTATTAAATGGAGAGTTAGAGGTATTGGGAAGATGGAGGAAATATTTTGAGGAATTGTTAAATGTTGATGAAGATAGGGAAGCTGTGATTTCGTGTATAGGGCAAGGAGGAATAACATCTTGTAGGAGTGAGGAAGAGCCAGTTGTGAGTGTGGGGGAAGTTCGTGAGGCAGTAGGTAAAATGAAAGGGGGTAAGGCAGCCGGGATTGATGGGATAAAGATGGAAATGTTAAAAGGAGGTGGGGATATAGTTTTGGAGTGGTTGGTGCAATTATTTAATAAATGTATGGAAGAGGGTAAGGTACCTAGGGATTGGCAGAGAGCATGCATAGTTCCTTTGTATAAAGGCAAGGAGGACAAAAGAGTGCAAAAATTATAGGGGGATAAGTCTGTTGAGTATACCTGGTAAAGTGTATGGTAGAGTTATTATTGAAAGAATTAAGAGTAAGACGGAGAATAGGATAGCAGATGAACAAGGAGGCTTTAGGAAAGGTAGGGGGTGTGTGGACCAGGTGTTTACATTGAAACATATAAGCGAACAGTATTTAGATAAGGCTAAAGAGGCTTTTGTGGCATTTATGGATTTGGAAAAGGCGTATGACAGGGTGGATAGGGGGGCAGTGTGGCAGATGTTGCAGGTGTATGGTGTAGGAGGTAGGTTACTGAAAGCAGTGAAGAGTTTTTACGAGGATAGTGAGGCTCAAGTTAGAGTATGTAGGAAAGAGGGAGATTATTTCCCAGTAAAAGTAGGCCTTAGACAAGGATGTGTGATGTCACCATGGTTGTTTAATATATTTATAGATGGGGTTGTAAGAGAAGTAAATGCGAGGGTCTTGGCAAGAGGTGTGGAGTTAAAAGATAAAGAATCACACATAGAGTGGGAGTTGTCACAGTTGCTCTTTGCTGATGACACTGTGCTCTTGGGAGATTCTGAAGAGAAGTTGCAGAGATTGGTGGATGAATTTGGTAAGGTATGCAAAAGAAGAAAATTAAAAGTGAATACAGGAAAGAGTAAGGTTATGAGGATAACAAAAAGATTAGGTGATAAAAGATTGGATATCAGATTAGAGGGAGAGAGTATGGAGGAGGTGAATATATTCAGATATTTGGGAGTGGACGTGTCAGCGGATGGGTCTATGAAAGATGAGGTGAATCATAGAACTGATGAGGGGAAAAGGGCGAGCGGTGCACTTAGGAGTCTGTGTAGACAAAGAACTTTGTCCTTGGAGGCAAAGAGGGGAATGTATGAGAGTATAGTTTTACCAATGCTTTTATATGGGTGTGAGGCATGGGTGATGAATGTTGCAGCAAGGAGAGGGCTGGAGGCAGTGGAGATGTCATGTCTGAGGGCATTGTGTGGTGTGAATATAATGCAGAGAATTCGTAGTTTGGAATTTAGGGGGAGGTGCGGGATTACCAAAACTGTTGTCCAGAGAGCTGAGGAAGGGTTGTGAGGGACTGATTACCTCATACTCCCCCTCTCCTTACGCCTTCCTCTTTGTATTGGACTGATGAAGCCACTGTGTGGCGGAACGTTTCCTGAATAAAGATTCCCATATGCTGCATAAGTGTCTCAATCTTCAACTGAGGAAGGGTTGTTGAGGTGGTTCGGACATGTAGAGAGAATGGAGCGAAACAGAATGACTTCAAGAGTGTATCAGTCTGTAGTGGAAGGAAGGCGGGGTAGGGGTCGGCCTAGGAAAGGTTGGAGGGAGGGGGTAAAGGAGGTTTTGTGTGTGAGGGGCTTGGACTTCCAGCAGGCATGTGTGAGCGTGTTTGATAGGAGTGAATGGAGACAAATGGTTTTTAATACTTGATGTGCTGTTGGAGTGTGAGCAAAGTAACATTTATGAAGGGATTCAGGGAAACTGGCAGGCCGGACTCTAGTCCTGGAGATGGGAAGTACAGTGCCTGCACTCTGAAGGAGGGGTGTTAATGTTGCAGTTTAAAAACTGTAGTATAAAGCACCCTTCTGGCAAGACAGTGATGGAGTGAATGATGGTGAAAGTTTTTCTTTTTTCGGGCCACCCTGCCTTGGTGGGAATCGGCCAGTTTTTTTTTTTTTTTTTTTTTCAACAAGTCGGCCGTCTCCCACCGAGGCAGGGTGACCGATCGGCCAGTGTGTTAATAAAAAAAAAATCTGTAGGGGGAAGGAAGGTGGGGTAGGGGTTGCCCTTGAAAAGGTTGGAGGGAGGGGGTAAAGGAGGTTTTGTGGGCAAGGGGCTTGGACTTCCAGCAAGCATGTGTGAGCATGTTAGATAGGAGTGAATGGAGATGAATGGTTTTTGGGACCTGACAAGCTGTTGGAGTGTGAGCAGTTTTATTTTTATATAGCCAGACTTGAATACTGGAAATGGAAAATACAGTGCCTGCACTTTAAAGGAGGAGTTTGGGATATTGGCAGTTTGGAGGGGTATGTTATATATGCTTCTAAACTGTTGTATCTAGGTGCCTCTGCAAAGACAGTGATTATGTGTGAGTGAGGTGAAAGTGTTGAATGATGATGAAAGTATTTTCTTTTTGGGGATTTTTTCTTTTTCTGTCATCTTGCCTTGGTGGGAGATGGCCGACTTGTTGAAAAAAAAAATGTACATTTTTTTTTTAGAAAATGAAGTTTTCACTTGCTGCTGCATTTGTCAGTTTTCTTCTCAGTGCCTCATGTGGTATGGACTGCTTCTTCCATTACAGCATTTATAAATAATCAGTCATTTCTTTCGTATGGAAAACTATTACATGCTTTTTTTTTATTTTCCAGTCATCTTCGAGGGCTTTTAGGATCTGGTGGGACATACAAGCTAAATGCATTTAATCCTCATTTAGCAGCTCGCCTACAGCAGCACCAACACCAACAGCAGCAGCCACATCAGGGGCCAGGGCGACACCATGACCAACAAGGGTCATCCAGAGGTCCAGTTTCTTTTAGACAAAGTACTATGACTCCTGCTGCTGCTGCTGCAATGGCAAGTATTTCACAAATGGCAGCTGTATCAGCGGCTAATAACAACCCACTAAGCATGGTGAACATGAGTGGGCAGTTAAATCCTCCATCAGGAATTAGTATTACTCCTGTTCCTCAGCAGAAGCAATCTCAACCTCTCCCACAGCATGGGCATTCACAAATTCAGCAACTTCAGCAACAGAAGCAACAACACCAACAGCATCTCTCTCTACAGGGCATTTTACGAAGCACTTTGTCACAACCCACACTAGGACCAAAACCAGACTCCCGTCAGCCGTCACCCCATAGTACTCAACAGCCACAGCTGAAAGAGAGCAGCAGTCCTACTCCATCGTGGCACATTCCTCAAACACCTGAATCCTCAAAATCATCTCTTAACTCCAACACACCAATGGTTTCCATCCCCCATGAGAGTGTAGACAACTCCTTCAAAATTGTACTTGGGCCCAATAAAACCAATGGCGGGGTGAGTTCCTCAACTTCGATCACCTCCATCACCACTACTTCCAACAGTACCTCCAACGTCCCTCACAACTTGCCCCCGCTCACCAGGATCCCAGGCTTCAGGTCAATCCTTCCCAAGCCCTGTGGAAACTCAGATGGGAAGGAGACCGCCAACGAAGCTAGGCTCCAAAGTGAAAGTTTGGGCCAGGTAAGTTGCTACAGCTTATACACAGGTTGATGCACAGATCTTGAAACTTGCAGGACTATTAGTCATTGTCTTCGTCACTTATTGTAGAGTAAAATGTAACCTTAATATTTGCACACTAAAAGAATTGACCTATACTTGAGGTGTGCCAGCAATAGTATTTGTCCCAGTATTCCATGCGAAACATATTGCAGGCTTTGAAAATAAGCTGTCATGCAGAGGCAACAGTTTTCATTTTCGTTTAGAATATTTGGCTAAGCTATGAACAAGGTTTTAAAGTTAATTACTTTTCCCTTTGCATCTTCAGTTTCATAATGCAAAGTATAACTTAATATTTTGGTTTCTGTACATCAAGAGTGCATTAATCCAGTGCAGTATAGGTTTTTTCCCTCTTGGTACACATGATTAGTATCTTCCAGGCTTTATTTATCCCAGGAACCTTATCTCTAGTTTTGCTTGAATTAATGACTGTGTTTTCTTTAGCTCTTATATATTTTTTCAGTAGATAACTTCATCCCTAAATCACATAGTTGTTTGTCTTTTTTTTTTCCTCTCTCTGACTGTCAGTTTGTCCTGAAGTTTGAAAATTTGCACTCATTTGGGTCTTTATCAGAATTTAGCTAAATTTATTTGTAACTAAAGTCTGTCATCATGAGTATTTGACACTTCCTTTTTCAACTTCACAAGGTGGGTCTTAAAAATCGGGAATGGGTGGGGGGTTTCATGTGGAAAATGTCTCATGGCAACATTCTGTCATAGGCCAAAATGAGACTTTAGTAATCCCAAAATGAACGATGGAAAAATTAAGACGTGATCAAAGGACAAAAAAAAAAAAAAAAAAAAAAAAAAAAAAAAAAAAAAAAAAAAAAAAAAAAATGTATATATTCATTGTTAACAATTGGACAAAACTGGGCTAAAAGTAAAAGGACATTATGGGAGAATGGAAACTTTTATTGAGACAACATTTTCTTGGAGACCAAATGACAGGTGTGGAATGTATGACAGGTGTGGAATGTATGTCAGGTAGTAAATTTTTTTTATGGAATGTGATACCTCGAAGTCTAAGAGGGAAATTTGGGAAAAAATCATAGAATGGGTAATTAGAAAGCCTATGCTGCTGGTACATGACCTTGATGAGGTTAAAGCTCTCCAAGATAACAGTAACAGTTTTTTCACGTTTTGGCATGTTTTTACCACAAGGAAAATGATAGGCTGGATAACTAGGACGTTCAGAACAGATGCCAATCTAATAAAGACAATCTTCAGGTCACTTTTTCTCTACAGGCTGAAATACTGCTTTATGATAACTGCCTCTTGCAAGGCAGGAGATATTGCAAGCAGGAGGTTTAGCACATGGTGCAAAGTACCTCCAATAAAAAGCAGGGGTGCAATGAGAGAAAGAGAGAGAGAGAGCAGTAAGTGTTAGACATCCTCAATTTTTCAGTGCCCTCCTTTCATACATGAGGGGAATTATCAACTAACCTCTATCTGTCTTCTAGAGAAAAGTTGATAGGTTCTTTAAATCATTTCCTGATCAACTGGACTGTGGTGTATATGTTTGACTGTGCAGAAAGCACCAACAGTGTAGCTGATCAAGCCAGCAACCATGAGATCTGGCCTGGCACTGGGCCACAAGGACAATGACCCCCAGAAACAGTATAAGGTAAACATAAGGTATGATATACATACACATTCATGCACATTTGCATGTATGTAGTGTATACTGGAAGTAACTAACAGTAGCAGGATTTTCCTCTCATCTTGCACATTTAAGAGAGAAAGAGAATGGATCAGCAATCTTGCCAAAGTGTATAACATTTAGCTGGCTTCCACATCATACTTGTTTTGTAGGGCAGTATTACCTTCCAGGGTGGTTGCTGGCTACCAACCAGTATTCTTATTAGACTGAAAGATCACCTATGTTTTTGTGTGGAGAAAGAGTGCTTCTCACCTGATCTCAGTATAGTTTCTCCATAACATAATGTCAGATCTCTTAGAAACTGGGATATTTACTGTTTACAGTGACACCTAAACAATCATATCTGCATGCCTCTGGCAAGACAGTGATAATGTAAATAATGGTGAAAGTGTTTCTTTTTCGGATCACCCTGCCTTGGTGGGAGACAGCCAGTGTGTTAAAGGACAGAAATTGAAAGTGAACATAGATAAGAGGAAGGTGATAAGGGTATCAAACGAGTTAGGTAAGGAAAAATTGGATATCAGATTGGAGGGAGGGAGTGTAGATGAAGTAAATGTGTGCAGATATTTAGGAGTGCACGTGTTTCAGATGGGTTTATGAAAGACAAGGTAAACCATAGAATAGATAAAAAAAAAAAGGTGGGTGGTGCTTTGAGGTATCTGTGGAGACAAAGAACATAATCCATGAAGTCAAAGAAGGGAACGTATGAGAGTATAATAGTACCAACACTCTTATATGGGTGTGAAACATGGGTTGTGAATGTTACAGCAGGGAGGAGGCTGGAGGCAGTGGAGATGTTGTGTCTAAGGGCAATGTGTGGCATAAACATTATGCAGAGAATTCATAGTGTAGAAATTAGGAGGTGTGGATTTTTTTTTTTTTCAACAAGTCGGCCGTCTCCCACCGAGGCAGGGTGACTCAAAAAAGAAAGAAAATCCCCAAAAAGAAAATACTTTCATCATCATTCAACACTTTCACCACACTCACACATTATCACTGCTTTTGCAGAGGTGCTCAGAATACAACAGTTTAGAAGCATATACGTCTAAAGATACACAACATATCCCTCCAAACTGCCAGTATCCCAAACCCCTCCTTTAAAGTGCAGGCATTGTACTTCCCATTTCCAGGACTCAAGTCCGACTATATGAAAATAACCGGTTTCCCTGAATCCCTTCACTAAATATTACCCTGCTCACACTCCAACAGATCGTCAGGTCCCAAGTACCATTCGTCTCCATTCACTCCTATCTAACACGCTCACGCATGCTTGCTGGAAGTCCAAGCTCCTTGCCCACAAAACCTCCTTTACCCCCTCTCTCCAACCCTTTCGAGGACGACCCCTACCCCGCCTTCCTTCCCCTATAGATTTATATGCTTTCCATGTCATTCTACTTTGACCCATTCTCTCTAAATGACCAAACCACCTCAACAACCCCTCTTCTGCCCTCTGACTAATACTTTTATTAACTCCACACCTTTTCCTAATTTCCACACTCCGAATTTTCTGCATAATATTTACACCACACATTGCCCTTAAACAGGACATCTCCACTGCCTCCAACCGTCTCCTCACTGCTGCATTTACCACCCAAGCTTCACACCCATATAAGAGTGTTGGTACTACTATACTTTCATACATTCCCTTCTTTGCCTCCATAGATGACATTTTTTGACCCCACATATACCTCAACGCACCACTCACCTTTTTTCCCTCATCAATTCTGTGATTATCCTCATCCTTCATAAATCTATCCGCCGACACGTCAACTCCCAAGTATCTGAAAACATTCACTTCTTCCATACTCCTCCTCCCCAATTTGACATCCAATTTTTCTTTATCTAAATCATTTGATACCCTCATCACCTTACTCTTTTCTATGTTCACTTTCTACTTTCTACCTTTACACACATTCGCAAACTCATCCACTAACCTTTGCAATTTTTCTTTAGAATCTCCCATAAGCACAGTATCATCAGCAAAAAGTAACTGTGTCAATTCCCATTTTGAATTTGATTCCCCAAAATTTAATCCCACCCCTCTCCCGAACACCCTAGCATTTACTTCCTTTACAACCCCATCTATAAATATATTAAACAACCATGGTGACATTACACATCCCTGTCTAAGACCTACTTTTACTGGGAAGTAGTCTCCCTCTCTTCTACACACCCTAACCTGAGCCTCACTATCCTCATAAAAACTCTTTACAGCATTTAATAACTTACCACCTATTCCATATACTTGCAACATCTGCCACATTGCTCCTCTATCCACTCTATCATATGCCTTTTCTAAATCCATAAATGCAATAAAAACTCCCCTACTTTTATCTAAATACTGTTCACATATATGCTTCAATGTAAACACTTGATCTACACATCCCCTACCCACTCTGAAACCTCCTTGCTCATCCGCAATCCTACATTCTGTCTTACCTCTAAGTCTTTCAATTATAACCCTACCGTACACTTCCTGGTATACTCAGTAAACTTATTCCTCTATAATTTTTACAGTCTCTTTTGTCCCCTTTCCCTTTATATAAAGGGACTATACATGCTCTCTGCCAATCCCTAGGTACCTTGCCCTCTTTCATACATTTATTAAACAAAAGTACCAACCACTCCAACACTATATCCCCCCTGCTTTTAACATTTCTGTCATGATCCCATCAGTTCCAGCTGCTTTACCCCCTTTCATTCTACGTAATGCCTCACGTACCTCCCCCACACTTTCTGCTCTTCTTCACTCCTAAAAGATGGTATACCTCCCTGACCAGTGCATGAAATTACTGCCTCTGTTTCTTCCTTAACATTTAAAAGTTCCTCAAAATATTCTCGCCATCTACCTAATACCTCCATCTCCCCATCTACTAACTCCCCTACTCTGTTTTTAACTGACAAATCCATACTTTCCCTAGGCTTTCTTAACTTGTTTAACTCACTCCAAAAATTTTTCTTATTTTCATTAAAATTTCTTGACAGTGCCTCTCCCACTCTGTCATCTGCTCTCCTTTTGCACTCTCTCACCACTCTCTTTACCTTTCTTTTACTCTCCATATACTCTGCTCTTCTTGTAACACTTCTCCTTTGTGGATTTATTAAAAGTATTATTCAGAGGGCTGAGGAAGGGTTATTGAGGTGGTTTGGTTATTTAGAGAGGGTGGAGCAAAATAGGATGACTGGGAGGGTGTATAAATCTGTAGTGAGGGAAGACGAGATAGGGGTCATCCTAGGAAAGGATGGAGGGAGGAGGTAAAGGAGGTTTTGTGTGCAAGGGGCTTGGACATCCAGCAGACCTGTG